CGCCAGACGAATTCTGATGAGAAAAAAAATTCAGGAACAACACAATGAACCAACTTTCCTAGCAGTTGATTCGATATATTCACTCTACTTCATGTCAGTGGGAAAAGTGAACCCAAGAAGGCGTAAAATTATGCTTTCCTGGGGGTTAGCATTAGCCATGCTGATGGCAGACAGAAAAGCTTCTCTGTGGTGACTGAATGAAAGCAGTTTTATTTTGGAGGCGTGACAATTTGCGAGACATTTCTTGCTCCAGTTAACAACTAATTATAGATTCTTCAGATCAATACGCTCATCTTGGTTATTATTCACACGAAGTTTCGGCCATTGTATCCACCGGACTTCTTCAGGTATTTGCTTTACTTGGGCAATCTCCTAGGAATTTGAACTGAACCCTTCATTCGACAGTTTTATTTCGTTTTACATTTTTTTTCCATCTCTATACTCACCGGTCTTTGATCACATCTGCGTCCGTAGTTGTAATTTAGTTGTTTGCGATGTGATAAGTGAGTCTACGAGAGAGTGTGGTACATTATTATTATTATTATTACTGATGCAGTCGCTCAAAGTACATGAGAGTTTATATGAGACGGATTTTTGAGGTCAGGGGTTAATAATTAGGTTAGATCTTTAGAACAATGTCTAAGAAATTTGTTGACATCGTTAAGTGATATGAACTGGCGGATTATATATTAATGAATTTTTCATCCTGTTTATAATTAAGGAGCATCTTAATTTCGAAAACGGTTTTCTCTTCATACTTTTCATTATAACAAGATGGTTGCTTGCATTATTATTTACAAAATTCTTTAAAGATAAATTCATTTGCACATCGCCGACATGATTGGCGAAGTTATTGTTGATAACACATATACACAAACACAGAGACTCGCAGAGAGAGAGAGAGAGAGAGAGAGAGAGAGAGAGAGAGAGAGAATTTTGTGGGTAACAGTGGATTTGTCTCAGAGTTACTGGGAAATAATTTGAGGAATGATTTGCAAACTATTTCATATCTTTCAAATTTTAATGATATAAGCATCATGTTGTCAATATATATATATATATATATATATATATATATATATATATATGTGTGTGTGTGTGTGTGTGTGTGTGTGTGTATATATATAATTATTTATTTAAAATGATTCCAAATCGCGACATAAGAAGTCTCATGTTTCAAAACAAGAGCCGAAAATTTCAATATAATTATTTGAATTAAATTGAGTAAAAGAAAGCTCTGTTCCATCTTCAAGCGAAATTTTTTTTTGGAATAACGTATTTCTGAAATTTACGTGTTTTAATAATTGAAATCAAAATTTCCATGGTAACAGCTAGGGCGAATTGTTTAAATTGGGTAGGCGTGTGTTGGGTGTTAATAATAAGTATCAGTATAGAGTTACTTTCATAGATGTCAAGTCAGGGTAAGGTGGGGGTGTCTAAATTTGAAACGGAAGATGTATTAACCTTAGTCTGATATGCGTGTCTATGGAGATTTATTTATTTTTTTATTTTATTTTTTTATGAAAAGGATTTGTGCATATAAAAAAAACTGTCGTAACGTTTGGTTTTTGACGACTTCATAAAGGGTTATCTTTTTTGTAGGGTATTTAAACTATTTATTTGGGCTATGGATTATGAAAGGTATTATATTGTATGCTTGTTTTTAGCTAATTATTCAAACCATGAATCTGATGATTGGGTTATGGATTAAACAAGTTTTTATATTGTATGCTTGTTTTTAGCTAATTATTCAAACCATAAATCTGATGATGTCGATAAAAAACCGTTAACTCGTGTCTATTGTTTAATAGATTATTATTATTTAGAAGCTTAATAATGTGCAATTTCTCATGGAGGCACAAAGGACATGGGTCATCCCAAGTTTTACATGTTCTAGCCTTGTTTATAATTTTCCATTTTACTTTAGGTGTCCTATTTGTTTCCTTCAGATGCCCAAAATATTTAGATAGGGAAGTCTGATTTCTTTTGTTTATATTATTGAATATTGCTGCCTCCATCTATCTTTAAAATCATTCTTCAATGGATATAATGTATATATATATATATATATATATATATATATATATATATAATTACATGAATCATTCATACAAAAAAACAAATATAGAGGTTAATGATTTAAATGGCGAGAATACATCTTCGCAAACAATTTCAATAAGATACACCAACCCCGAACCTGTATATGAATGATATGATCCCTGTTTATAAATTCCAGGTCTTTTTAATTTTTACAAGCTTTCGTCTGTTCCTACAGACATCATCAGGTATGGAAATAGATTTGTTCTTGTTTTTTACTTCTCGGTAATAAGAGGACAACGAAAATAGAGATGTAATCCGAAAAAATGCTATGAGAAATGTGTTATTGTTTTGGAACGTGCGCTCGCAACACTGAGTTTGAATTTTAAATTTTAAGGTTGTGCGTTTTTGTACAAAAATAGTAATAAGAGAATTCTTTTGTACTGGTAGGTTTTCCGTCAATGTGGTATGAACTATATTGTTCAATAATTACAGGACTGTCACACTTATTATCCGAAAGTTGCACGTTGGATCAGTTATTTTAATTTCAATTAAAAGGTGCAATTTTAATTTATAATTACATGAATCATTCATACAAAAACCGCACGTTTCAAAACATTATTATACTGGCCCTGCAACTATACATTATTCAATGTCTTCTCAGCACTTTTGACTTTTATTAGTCACTAGCAGGAGAGCCCGGCGTTGCCCAGGGATGTAACAGTAAGAGATAGATCAAGTGTCGACCATCATAAAGACTGAGGAATAAAATTGACAAAGATTATTGTTTAAGGTTGACGCACACGCATGTCTTAATTAGTTTTTTCTTTTTTTTTTTACAAATTGGTCAAACCCAAACTCAAACAAAAACATTGTTTTCAATCGTTATGAGTCTACTGATTGAATAGAATTTTATTATAAACAATTGTCTTGTAAATGGAATTTTAAAGCATTCTGAATGTAAAAATAAAAAAAAAAAGTGTGCAAGACAATAAGAAACACTACCCAAAAAAAAAAGTGAAGTTTTGTTGAAATCGGTTGAAAATGTAGGAAATCCGATCCCATATATAAACGAAACACACACACACACACACACACACACACACACACACACACACACACACACACACACACACACAACCTGGGTTTTATAATAAGTATAACTCGATATGAGTTGTCTCCCTTCCATTCTAGGGACTGAATCGTGTTTTATCGTGTGTTTAATGCCTCTTAATAGTGTTTTCAAATTGATTTCGTGCAAAAACAATTGTGTTTTTCCAATTTTTGGCGCTGTCAGAACCACCGCAAGGTAATTTTACGTAGTCCTGTGAAGTTTTATTGAAATCAGTTGAAAAATGTAGGAAATCCGATCCAATATATAAACGAACAGACACACACACACACACACAACCTGGGTTTTATAATAAGTATGATTATCAAGTAATTTTTTGTGTATTAATAAGCCTGTGTTCAAAAATATACATTGTTTCTCGTTAGCGATTTTCAAGTATGGCGTCGTCACGTGTCAGACTGTTGTAACTTGCGGAAAATTTATGAGAAAATTATCTGAGTAAAAGTGTTCTTTCATTGTCCATTGTTTGCGTATCTTTTCCAAACACGGATAACACGAATAACATGGATATACGATTAGATAAAGAGACTGTCTGCTTGCTTAATAGATTAAGAGTTATAAATTGATAAGATAACGTCCCAGAAAATGTTACCTATTGACTCTCGTATTAATAAATAAAAGGTTTCGTTCAGCAATCTGCGAAGAATATCAGAAACAACAAACAGACGAGATAGGTCGGAGAGTTGTGTGGATTAAAAGTGATACCAATTTTTCTGCAAATTTCTTTTATGTGCTGTGTCTTTTTAGGGCGTAGGCGATCATGGCTCTCCATAATTTCCTGTCCTTTGTAGCTTTTAATAAATTTTGTCTCTTTGTTATTTCACCTAAACCTTGCTCCGCCATCAATTTACACAATCTCGCTAGGTAGGTTATGCATTGTTTTGCCTCTGCCCTTTTGTCTGGTGTATTAGATAACAACTGAGAATTTGAAACCAGTGAGCGAAGATCTAATTCCAGTCGGGTTCGTTATATTTACTTAGGCGTAAATACCCTTGGGAAAGATATGTCCACTTCTTCTCCCTCAGCTATGGATTAATTAGTACAACTTGTATCAGTAAATTATCATTACCGTCATAAAAAGTCTTACAATCTTAAAATACCGTCTGGCTTTAAATAACCTGCAAAGGTTGATAAACCGTAAAAAACTAATAAACGAGGCTTCTTGATGTCCGTTCATTTTCTTTCTTTCTATTAAAGTTTTCTTTTCTGCTTTATCACACCCCGCTTTCGTCATATTAATTCCTTCCGTTTTGTAACTTTCTTTCTTTTTTGCGAACATGACTATCTCACTTTTTTCTTTTTCTTTTTTTAACTAACTATCATTCTCATTTTGTTTACCTATACATATATCCCTCGATTAATGCCCATTCGATTAATGAGTTTTCGATTAGTACGCCAAAGATTTTTTATACCAAAATTCGATTACTGCATACATAATACTCGATTAGTGCGGTAATACACTCTTCAGTTTAAACATAGTAAATGGAAACTGTTTTTTTATAGTTACCGATGGACACATTAGCCGCACTAATCGAGGAATTCCAGAATTTACTTTAACATGCTTTCTTTCTTTCTCTTCTTGTCTTCATAGATTTTTGTTTTCTTTCGTTTTCTTTCTTCCTCTTTTCCTTCTTTTTTCTGTCTTTCTTTATTGCTTTTTAATTTACCTTATCATATTTCTTTCTTTCTTTCTTTCTTTCTGTATGTATTTCTTTATTTCTTCATGTATTTATGTCTGTGTATTTGTTTATGTATGTATTCATCTATTTTTTGTCTGTGTTCTTTTTTTTTTTTTTTTTTCTTTCTTTCTTTCTTTCTTTTTTCTGTTTGTATGCCAGTTCATCCGTTTGTATCTATCTTTCTATCTATCTTTCTATCTATCTATCTATCTTTTTGTCTCTTTCTTTCTTTCTTTCTTTCTTTCTTTCCAACAGTCTATTGTATGCATGTATGTCTGCATGTACGTATGTATGCATCTAACTATTTGTCTGTGTGTTTGTCAGTTCCTGCCTTTTTTGCCTTTTTTCTTTCTTTCTTTCTTTCTTTCTTTCTTTCTTAGTAATTTGGTATGCTTATATCAATCATTTCTCTTTGCATCTCCCCCACTTCTCCATCCCTGTCTCTCTCCCTTCCGGCTTTTCTCCTTTATCTGTATTCCCATATAAAATTCCACATGGCCAGACACATTACCATTTCTCCATCGTCTACCCACACATCTTCCGCTATATTCTCTAACTGCCGATAACCAGCCACAGATCCTAGTTCTATATATAAACCATTGATCTGTCCAAGAGATACCCCTATGACAACATTGAAAAATTGGTGTCTATATATAAAAGTACTTAACTGGAGACATCTGTGAACATGCCAACGATCAACCAATGAAACTCCTGAACAATTTCTGACCAAATGTCGTATCAGTTGATCTGATCTGATAATGTTCCATACACGTCACGTACTGCCGTGGTTATCAGAAATGTTTTCTGTTATAATTGCAAAGAAAAACCTGAAACTTTTTTTCTGCTTCCTATTTTATCAGTCATCATTTCGTTCTCTCCAGACGGACTCGCGTGTGTAAATACGTTTACTTCCTCTCAAGGTCAAACTCTCTAGCACTGGCTTGCTAATGATTTCTGATAGGGGGTTACCAACCGTCCCGCTCTCTGTCCAGCTCCAGTAAGTACCTGAAACCTCTAACGTTACAAAAACCAGATGAGACCTAAGATGGAATACTGTTGTCATGTTTGGGCCGGAGCTGTCCATTCCGCACTTTTCGGTCTAAAAGTGCTTCAGAGTCCTTGTAGGTAACAAATTATTTTCAAACATCCCCCCTCTCTCTCTCTCTCTCTCTCTCTCTCACACACACACACAAACACACACACAAGCGGAATGTGGCAAGCCTCTCACAATTCTATCTCTACTTCCATGGAAAGTGCTCGGTCGAGCTGTCTTCTTTGGTTCCACCAGTTCTAACCTTCAAGGTCAGGACTCACCATGCTACGTGCAATGTAGCAAGCCACCTTCATGCCCTTCGTATTCCATCGGCAAAAAGTAAGTTCCACTCGAACAGCTTCTTCCCGTGAACCACTGTGGAACTGATTCGCCAGAGGATGTTTCCCTGATCACTATAATCTTAACCTGTTCAAGTCTAGGGTAAACCGTTATCTTCCCCTCTTATCCGCATAAACTGCCTCTTACTCTAATTCTCTACCTCGAGTGGCCCCAGGGCCTTGTGCAGGGTAAACCTTACTGCAAAAAAAAAAAAAAATGCCAAACCCTGTCAAACTACCTCAAGTTATTTAAACCACAGACCGAGCTTCACTGTTTTTACCTAAAGCTTGAGAAATAAATCCAGTTCAGTTCACAGTCAACTTCACTGCGTGGTTTTGGAATCTATATTCTCATCTAAGGTCAAGGAGGTAAGTGGGTATCTCACCCCGAAAAATGAAACTATAAAACTCGAATTTGAGACTAGACGCAGCTTCAGAATATATGCATCATATTTCGTGCCGATTAAATGGAATTCGTTTTGATACATACGACGGAGTTTTGAGACTTTGGTAAGAGAGGCAGTAATAATTGTACTCAATCATTGTAATTTTACTATATCATTACTATAAAATATGTAATAAACTGACCTGAAAACTTTTGTTATTTCAGACTGAAGAGGACAGCAGTAACGACTCTTTGAACACACACCCGGCTTGTCACAAAATGCAGTCGGATGTGAAGACATTTAAACGAACGATATACAATAAAGTTTTGTTTTAAACTGGGCAAAAACGCTACAGTGACTTATGAAATGCTTCAGACTGTTTATGGATTAACTTGTACGAGCCGAGAATGTTTTTTTGCTGGCGCAAGTGATTCAAGGGCAGCAGAAAAGAGGTGAGACACGAAGCATAAAGTTTGGAGTTGATTCGGCAACTGCCCACATAATTATTCATGAAGAACTGAACATGCGCTAAATGTGTTCAAAGTTTATTCCCAGTGAGGAACAGAAGGAAATACGCGTTGGTGACAGGAGGAAGATCGTTGATGGGCATCAAAAGGGCTCATCACACTCCTTACCTTGCTCCTTGTGACATTTGCTTGTTCTCCAAGCTGAAGGAGAACCTAAGGGGTAGTCATTTTGAAGTCATTGAGCAGATGGAGGAGGCTAGACATCTTTACTTTGGACGACTTCCATGGGACTTTCTTGAAGTGGTGGGAGCGCTACAGTAAGTGTATTGAATTCAGAGGATCCTATTTGTGTTTTGTACTTCTTTGAAATTAATGAAATGTTTCTCCTGAAAATGTCTGAAAACTTCTTGAAAGCATTTTGAAGCATTGTTATTTCATTCTCTTTGTAAAAGACATAGCCTACAGTGTTTCTCAATCTTTTTAAGCAATTGCATAACTAGGGGCAAATGAAAATATCACGGCATACATAATAAATTTTTTAGTGGGTATACATATAAATGTCAGGAAATAAAACCCTAGATTTTTTTTTTAAAATACGCACAAATATGAACTTACTTTAATTCAATGTTTCTGTATTTACATTAGTCGGACTATTGTCCTCATCTTTGTCGCCATATTTGTCACAACGTTTCGGCCGTTGTACGCTCCGGCCTTCTTCAGGTGGTTGGAATTTCGAACTGAACCCTGGGGTAGACTGTTCTAGTTCCACGTGCCATGTTTGATGGATGTCAGCTTTCAGTTATCTCCTGCTAATTTTCCCTCTGAAAGTTCTCCACTGCCTTAACCAGGAATTGAACTCACCTTCTTTGGGTCTGTCACTGGATCTAACCAACGCCTTTACCCACTGTGCCATGTGTACGAACTTCTGAGTATTATAAAGCTAGTGTTTTCAGCATCATTTTTTACCAGTGCTCATATTGCAATTTTGCTGTTATCATTGCATGTCTTTACCAAAGTTCATATTGCAACTTTGTTATCATTGCTTTTCTCTGGCACTCCTTATTACTGGTTCCCATATTGTATTTATTTCTATGCTTGATCGGCTCAGGAGATTTTTGTGGCCTAGCATATGTGCTGATTCCTTAAGTTTACGAATTTTCCAATGGTGTTCCCTGTCGATGATCTCAACATGATCCCACAGGGGGCGGTGATCTCCCTTCTCTCTCCATATGTGGCCGAAACGTTGTGACAAATATGGCGACAAAGATGAGGACAATAGTCCGACTAATGTAAATACTGTACATAATACCTCATCTCAGAAATATAGACAGACTTCAATGTTTCTATTCAACTATTTGTGCAGATTGTTTAGCGTAAAACCTGGGCCTGGTGTTTTTCGCGATTTCTTCAATGTTTGGTCGAATGTGCGATATGCAAACCCTCATTTATTCTTCAAATGAGCGTAGTTTTTCCACTTCTTATTTTAGGTTTGAGAAGCCTAATTCACATAAATAAGAAATAGAAAATTACAATAAAAATGATAAAGCCTTTTTAGCTAATGTGGGAAATTCCTTTTCTATTGAAATCCAAAATGTATCAAGAGGTACTGTCGAAGGTTTTATTTTGAGTCCCTGATTCACAAGCAATGGTAGCTAATTCTTCTTCTTCACAAAACTGAAGAACAATATTAGAAGGGAACATTTATGAAGGGATTTCGAATCCAATCCTACTTTCGCGTCACGCTTAAGAGGATCGCGCGGCACACCAGTGCGCCGCGGCACGGCGGTTGTGAATCGCTGATCTAGAGAGTACTTTGATCGTAAGGTCATCTACAGTAAATTTTCACCTTACAACATTTCACCATTCCTGGCAGAACTTCTTTTATCACAGTGTGGTATATCTATTAACAAAAGAGATGGAAAAAAAAGATTCTAAATTAAATTGGCTAGATATAAAAAAAAAAAAAAAAAAAAAAACAGAAACAATAAATATTCTCAGTATCCCTCGTTTGTGCGCATGTGCAGTTGCACCCACTAACTTAACAAATTTAGTCCGATGAAGTCCTAAAGGACAAAACACGTCTCAAAAGCACTGTGGGGAGTAAGGAACGAATATTTAAACAGTCACTATTACTGCTGATAATACAAGACTCTCCTAGCGATTGAGTTCTCTGAGTGACTGGTGTGTTTATGAAAAAATAAATACGCAAAAATTAGCGTTTCTCTTTGCCGGATGTCGATGGCCTAGGAGTTAATATCTCCGACTGATACCAAATCGGTCGGGTTTCAGTTCCGGCATGAACCACACTGATGAACTGTGATACAGCTAACAGTTAGTCTGCGGATTACTATATATACATTACAGTTAAAAGGTTTAAGTCTCATAAATAAGAAATAGAAAATTACAATAAAACTCATGAAGACTTTTTAGCTAAAAAAATTCTTTTTCTATTGAAATCCAAAATGTATCAATGGGTACCGTCAATTTTGAATCCTCGATCACTAGAAATGGTAGCCAATTCTGCTTCGTCCCATAACTGAAGCCCAATATTAGAAGGAACATTTATGAAAGGATTTTGAATTCAATCATAATTTTGTGCTCAAATGACTGAAAATAATAATCAATGTTTTTGTCGAGAGCTTTCAGGGGTTTTAATATTAATGGTTAATTCTTAAATTAACCATTAATATTAAAACAAAGTATTTAAAATTGTATTGAAGAATCGTGAAAAGTATTATTTGAAAAAAAGTTTAATACTTATTCATTTATTCAGATACTAACATTGTACCATTACTACTTACACGCAAACACACACGCGTGCGTGCGCGCACGCGCGTGTGTGTGTGTGTGCCGAGACAATATTTCGCGGCACACTAGATGGTAGAAAATCACTGACTAATTCTCCACTGATCGTCTGTCTTTTTTTTTTTCATGTGGTGGGGCGGTGATTTGCCATGTCAGATAGATAAGAGGATATTCTCCATGAATTGACTTCTCTTCTTTCTCTTCTTGTCTTCATAGATTTTTGTTTTCTTTCGTTTTCTTTCTTCCTTTTTTCCTTCTTTTTTCTGTCTTTCTTTATTGCTTTTTAATTTACCTTATCATATTTCTTTCTTTCTTTCTTTCTTTCTTTCTGTATGTATGTATGTATGTATGTATGTATTCATCTATTTTTGTCTGTGTCTTTCTTTCTTTTTTTCTTTCTTTCTTTCTTTCTTTCTTTCTTTCTTTTTTCTGTTTGTATGCCAGTTCATCCGTTTCTATCTATCTTTCTATCTATCTTTCTATCTATCTATCTTTTTGTCTCTTTCTTTCTTTCTTTCTTTCTTTCCAACAGTCTATTGTATGCATGTATGTCTGCATGTACGTATGTATGCATCTAACTATTTGTCTGTGTGTTTGTCAGTTCCTGCCTTTTTCTTTCTTTCTTTCTTTTTTTTCTTTCTTTCTTTCTTTCTTTATGTATGTATGTATGTATGTATGTATGTATGTATGTATGCATGTATGTATTCATCTATTTTTGTTTGTGTTTTTGTTCCTGTCTTTATCTTTCTTTCTTTCTTTATCTTTCTTTTCTTTCTAATTCTCCACTGATCGTCTGTCTTTTTCGTTTCTTTTCTTCTTTTTTTTTTTTTGAGGTGGGGGGCGGTGATTTGTCATGTCAGATAGATAGAGGATATTCTCCATGATTTGAATCCCCTAGACTGGCTGATTTAAAAGCGAGAGGGCCAAGACTACTCTGCTATTTACCCATTCACAGGGTAGAAGAGACGGGTTCATGCCTTTCCAAAAAGTATTATTAAATGAACGCAACAGGTAAGATGAGAATTTAACCCCAGCCCACCGATTACAATTTCCGCTCCGAATCATTCTTCACTCCCCTCCTGAACATTAAGACTACCCCCCCCACACACACACTCACCAAACGTTCGTTTCAATATGAGCATTCTTGCTGTCTATCTTCTTGTCGAACTACAGCGCCGTTCCAAATATTTTGGTCGGCTGCTTTTCTCATTTCTTCCACTAATTGTGGTCGCATAACTGCACACACATACAACGATTAATTTATTCTAAAACAAGACAAAAGAAATTATTTAACTGTTTTCTTTTTAAGAAACGTTTCTCGGAGAAAAGAATTTGTTAATGTAACAACCGACATTACTCTTCATGTTTGTTTTTTTGTTTTTTAATGAGCAACGTGTCTTCTTATTTGGCCAATCGTCGTAATTTAATGGTCAGCATACAGAACCTATAGACTATTAGCAGAGTTTGATCCTCACTAGGTGATCAATACTTATGTCGTTATATTCCCTAACCACTTTATCGACCACCAAATTAGACTATTTCTTTCCAAAGTAAACAATAACGATAATAAACACACAGTAAAAAATAGAATAAATATTTTCTACAAAAGCCAAATGCACGTCAACTATGAACAAGACAAATCTTCACGTAGAAATATCATAAAGAAATACACTAGACCAATTGACCCGAGCAAAAAATCAAATCATTTATTTACTACAAAAAATTTAAAACAGCTGAACTTATCCTAAAAATAACAGTAGACCAACAAAATCAAAATGACGACGAACGAACGAATATTTACGAGTCGAGTTCAAATGTTCATGTATGTTTCTGATCAAACCGAATTCATAAATAATTACATCGGTCACACAACTACATGCCTATCTAGACGCCTTACTTTACACCTATCTGACCATTGGTCAATTAGAATTCATTTAAACGCGCACACAAACTTACCAGACTCCATTAGAAACATACTCATAGAAAATAGAAACATAATAACCTCATCCACTTGTAAAAAAAGATTAAAAATAATGGGAGCCTTAATAATAAAAAAGAAAAAGCCAACACTCAATAATATTAACTACGAACACGGCCACAATGTGCTGATGGTGTTCAGAAAATAAAACATCTCTATAACTCAAGATATATGCACACAATCAATACACCCAATTAAAAAGCAAAAATCGAATCATCCTTGATAATGGCTAAAAGTATAACCGAAAGTGCTCGAAATTACAGAGCATTTGGACAGTTTCTACAGAGTGTGTCCAAGAAAAGAAAACCCTTGTTTGAAGACAAGTAAAATTAAATAAAAGTCTTAATCGCAGTACCTTGTCTGTGGTCTTTAAAGAAAAAAAATAAATATATATATATATATATATGTGTGTGTGTGTGTGTGTGTGTGTGTGTGTGTGTGTGTGTAGAGGCGACAGCCTGTTTCATGCTAGATGAATCGTCAGGCCAAGTTTCATGCTAGATGCAATCGACAGCCTGAGTTTCATGCTAGATGCAATCGTCAGGCCACGAGTTTCATGCTAGATGCAATCGTCAGGCCACGAGTTTCATGCTAGATGCAATCGTCAGGCCACGAGTTTCATGCTAGATGCAATCGTCAGGCACTCGTGGCCTAACAATTGCATGTAGCATGAAACAGACTGTCGCCTCTAAGTGTTGACTTCTATGTTCACTTTTATATTTTACATACGCTCTATCTCTGATATTGAGCACTTTATCTCATAAATAGCACATCTTAAAACTATATTTATTATATATATATATATATAGTAGTTCAGACGTTATTTTTAGTGGATACCTGTATTTGAATAGACTATACATTTATTTAAACAGTGTTTATTTCGATTTAGTTTGATTCAGGTTCAGACTTGATTCGAACCTGTATCCCCCTTTTTAGGAAAAACCACTCTCTGTTCCGGTGTGCTTTATCCACTCGGCTACAAAGATCTTCACAATCAAGAAAGCACATCCACTCATTCAAAACATAAACAAAGCTTTTTAAAGAATTAATAGATTTTACTTTTTAAATCCGTTTTATTTGTATTACTTTTAATAGTTACTCGTAATTAAGTAGACGCTTTGTTTATTTAAACGATGTTTATTTTGTCTACCGGCCTGTGCATTCAAAAAATTTAATACGACACATTTACTTTAGTAAGTTTTCTGGAATTTGCAAACCTGTAAACGAAACGACTTAAATGTTTTTCTGCCCACCGTTGCCTGTTTTCAGATTTATAACTACTGCAAGGCAATCTCAGCTTAATTGTCAAATAGAATCCGCTGATATAAAGTGTTTCACATAATCAATACATGTGCATCACATGTAATGCACAGAGGGCAGTGAAATAACTTATGATTTGTACGTTACTGTGATGTGTTACACTATATATCAACACGTTCTATTTGCCAAATAATATGAGTTATCCTTGCAATAATTATAAATCTGAGAACACGTTTGGATAATACACACGAAAATGCCCTGGAATGAATGGATCTATTTGCATTATTTATATTGTTCGAACTATTGTCCTCATCTTTGTTGCAATATCCACGACGTTTCGGCCGCTGTATGCTTCGGCCTTCTTCAGGTGATGGAAATTTCGAACTGAAACCTTTATTTCGTCCACCGGGGTAATAAAGGGTTCAGTTCGAAACATCGTGAATATGGCAACAAAGATGAGGACAACAGTCTGACCTAACAATATAAATAGTGTAAATAATTACAATACTCTCGGATATATCTCGATATATATATATATATATATATATATATATATATATATATATATATATATATATATATATATATATATATATATATATGTTTCATTAAAAACGACAAACAAGGTACTACGGTTAAGCTTTTTATTTAATTTTTCTTGTGTTCTAACAAGAGCTTTTTCTTTTTCTGGACAAAGGGTGTGTAAGAACTGTCCAAATGTTTTATATTTCGACTATACCTTTAGCCATTATCAAGGATGATTCGATTTTTCAGCTTAATTGAGTGTGTGCGGTCTGTGTATGTCTTAGTGTGTGGTAGGGATGTTTTTAATTTCCGAATACGGTTAGCACATTGTGGCTTTGTTCGTTGTTAATATTGTTAAGAGTTGGCTTTTTCTTTTTTATTATTAAAGCTTCCATTATTTTTAATCTTTTTTTTACAAGTGGATACATTTAATATATTTGTATTTTCTACTAGTATGTTCCTAATGGAGTCTGTTAAATTTGTGCGTGTGTTTAAATGGGTTCTAATGGAGTTGTGATCAGATAGGTGTAACGTAAGACATCTGGATAAGCATGTGGTTGTGTAATCAATGTAATTATTTATGAGTCCGGTTTGATCAGGAACACAGTTCCTTAAGGGGCATTTGAACTCATAGATAATGTTGGTTCTTTGTAATTTTGACTTAGTTGGTGTGTTGTTATTTTTGAGGATAAGGTTGGCTGTCTTAAATTTTTTATAATAGATAATTAATTTGATTTTTTTATTCAGATCAGTTGGAGTAGTATATTTCTTTATAATATACCTTAAAGAAGATTCGTCTTGTTTGTAATTAATATACATTTGGTTTTTGTAATAAATGTGTATTTGATTTTTGGCTGTGTGCTCACTATCGTTATTACTTGCTTTGGGAAGAAATAGTCTAATTTGTTGGTCTATAAGGTGGTTAGGGAAGCCGTTGTTGATTAGTGTATACATACATATATACATACATACATACATATATATATATATATATATATATATATATATATATATATATATATATATATATATATATATGAGATACCGATTTATAAATTTTTATATATAAGAATCATTGATATATAAATCATACATATCATTGGGCGAAAATGTATGACAAAGTTGAAAAAACTTTTCGTATGACGCTTTTTGTTCTTTAAGATTTTATCAGGCTAAATTTGTTATTCTGGTGCAACTACGCATGCTCACAAAAAGGGGGTACTAGGAATTTTAAATTTAATTATTTTTTTTTATAAAATAAAATCTATCCGTTTTAATTTAGATTCTTTTTCTTTATTTTCCATCATTTTTATTACTAGATAAACTGTGATAATAGAAGATCTGCCAGGAATGGTGAAATGTTGTAAGAGCCGAGGCACAAATTTACTGTGGATGACCTTGCGATTAATTTTGTCTTTGTGAATTATTTTCTCCTTTGATAAGAGTAACATTTTTTATGTCTAACTTGTGGTCAGTCTTGTTATGGTGAGCAAATAAGGCATATGATACATTTTTTTATTTTTTTATTATTTATATTTTATTTTATTTTTTTGTAAAATGTCCCTTTCGTGTTCATGGTTTGTCAATTTGTTTATTATATAATTTATTTATTTATTTGTTAGGAATAATTTATTTTACTTATTTTATTTATTTATTTTATTTTATTTATTTATGTTTATTTTATTTTTATTATGAACAAGAATAGTGGGAGAATAAACTGTCAGCATAGAACTTACGGTTACATTTCACCTATATAATGATGAGACCTAACAGCCAATCTAGTACTGCGCTTAAATTCCTAATGTCTAGGTAGCATGTGCGTTGTGATTTAATAGATATAAGCTGGGAACGAGAAATCGGGGAGCCGAATTCAAATTTCCAGTCGGTTTCGTTGCGTTTACTTACGGGCAAATACCCTTATGAAAGGCATGAATCCAGCTCTTCTCCCTCCCAGCTATGGGTTGAATAGCAGGACAGACTGCGCCTTAAAGCATTGGTTTGGTCTAAAGCAGAAAGAAACGGCAGCGTACTGCAGGAATATCTTCTGCTTAGTCAGTCCTGTATCGAAAGAGACATGATTACTCAAATGTGTATCACGTATGACATTTAACTGACTGGCGAGCTATTTATAAAGCAAACTGGAAATTGTTATTAACAATCAGTTTTAGTTTTCCGTTCATAGGCTAAAATTTATACTTGTACCATTTTGCATATTTGCACAAAAAAGGAGAAAAAAAATATTGAAATTCGTTGCTTTTTTTCTTTGTGTCGTTAAATACTTTTCATTCCACGTAACCATCCAACTGTAACCCCCACATATTAATACCCCACCCCAATTATATTAATATCCCACCCCAATTATATTTACCCACGTAAAATCTAAATCGTTCGTGCTTTGTAATACATGTGGCATTTAAGGTGTTTATATTTAATATCCGTTTTGTTAAACAAATCTATTTTAGTGAATGTTTGCAATTTTTGTCAAAAACCTACTTATTCGATAATATATTTTATATAGTTACCTTCCCCATTTCTTTGAAAAAAGAGCATACCATGATGAAAAAAGAGCATCAAACATGATAAAAACAAAGTTTTATTGTCAAAATGTTTATGTTATTATTAAAAGGAAAGACCAACGTATTTTTGTTGTTTTATTATTTTTTTAATCCTTTCTAGAACGTTCGAAAATTTGGTTAAAAATCTTGTTTTCTTGCGTCAGCGGGCGTGGGAGGGATATAGGAAATTTTATCGTCTTTTTGGGGTAAAAACACAGTAATTTGGAAATTCTTGCAAAAATCAAATAATCATCGTATTATAATGGAAAATTTCGGACTCATTCACAAATGAATGGAATTAGTTTTTTTTTTTTTAGTTTTTTTTAGAAAATCTTGGTAATTTTTTTACATCTGTAAATTAAGTAATTTATTAAAATTCGAGAAATTAATTTTTCTCCACCTTCATATTTATATTAGAATCAGAATTCCTTGCAGAATTAAAATCAACAGAGACACCATTTACCGAAAATCTGCTCTGAATCGTAAAATAAAAAAATGCAATAAATCTATGAAATTATTTAATTAGAAAATATTTTACTTACTTTTATAAATAAGATAAATTAAGGATACTATTTTCCTAAGAAAAATTTTTTTTTCATAAATAATGAATTTTTGCAAGAATCTTTTTCATCTTTTTAAAATGTTAATTAGAATATTTTATGTTGATAATTAAAGATTTTAAAATTCTGTATTAATTTCACCCTTTAAGATGATATTATTATTATTATTACTATTATTATTATTATTATTAAGTAAAAACTATATTTATTAATTATAAATGGAAAAGATTAGTACAAATCATTAAACACCTATACTCTTAAAAGAATTTTGCATGTGTATAAAGATGCCGATTTTTGTAGATACGGAAGTTCATACACATTATCAGAAAATAACTATAGTAAATTTAAAGCCAAAATCTCTAAGATTAAATAAAACATTAGATTACAGAGAATATTTTCTTTAATTTTTAATATTATTGGGTACTGAAATATTATATATAAAAGGCGCTCACGTTATATTGTTAAACAACCATCTGTCATCAAGATATCAACACTCGAACAGCTTAAATAAACAGCTACTGCTGTGTCAAAAAAAAATTCCTGCAATATTTTAAACTTAAAGTAAACAATATTTGCTTCAAATCAGATTAATATATATGAAAGAGACTTGAAGCAACAGAAACAAAGAAAACAGTACTGAACTGTTACGCAATATCAGTCCTTCTATATGGCAGCGAATGCTGGACAATCTCCTCAAAGATGAAGAAGAGACTTGAAGCAATAGAAACAAAGGAAAGAGTACTGAACTGTTACGTAATATCAGTCCTCCTATATGGCAGTGAATGCTGGACAATCTCCTCAAAGATGAAGAAGAGACTTGAAGCAATAGAAACAAAGAAAACAGTACTGAACTGTTACGTAATATCAGTCCTCCTATATGGCAGCGAATGCTGGACAATCTCCTCAAAGATGAAGAAGAGACTTGAAGCAATAGAAACAAAGAAAAGAGCACTGAACTGTTACGTAATATCAGTCCTCCTATATGGCAGTGAATGCTGGACAATCTCCTCACAGATGAAGAAGAGACTTGAAGCAACAGAAACAAAGAAAAGAGTACTGAAATGTTACGTAACATCAGTCCTCCTATATGGCAGTGAATGCTGGACAATCTCCTCGCAGATGAAGAAGAGACTTGAAGAAACAGAAATGTGGTTTTACATTTGGATGATGAGAATAACATTGACTCAATATGTGAGCAACAACGAACTTTTAGAGAAAAAGGAAGCAAAACATGCACTTATACTAAACATTAGAAAGAGATACTTGAAATTTCCAGCGTAAAACAAAGAGGAAAGAGGTCTTGGATAATTTGACACTGACAGGACAGATTAAAAACATCATGGACAGAGGAAAACAATACATAACCTACCTAAAGAGCTTGTCCAAATGGATGGCAGAACAGGGTTTAGGAGAGATAGCAAAATGACAATATTTATTCAGAGCTACAAAACACAGCATCCTGAATTGACATGGCACATAGAAAAGGAAGAAACACTGGATATTGACTCTGAGGTTTACATCATGAATCACTTACCATTTAGAGGATTTATTTTCATACTGTCAAGCTTCTTATTTTAAAAATTACATTATAATGCCACATCACACTGAAACACTGGTTCCTGTACGACAGCCGAAGTTAAGCAACGTCAAGCCTGGTCAGTACCTAGATGCGTGATCGCTTGGGAATATCAGCTGATGCAAGCTTGGGTGTGCGGATGGTGTAACAGATAATGGTTCGGAATTGTTAATCGGAGAGCTGAGTTTCAATTCCAGTTGGGTTCGTTATATTCACTTACGCGCAAATACCCTTGGAAAAAGGTATGAATCTATCTCTTCTCCCCCAACTATGGGTTAATTAGTAAAACTTGTATGACTAAACCATTTAAAAAAGAATCTTACGATCTAAAAATATTTGCTGGCTTTTAATACTCTGCAATGGGTTGATAAACCGTAAAAAACGAATCAATCAATGAAATACTGATTAGCTACACAGGCATGTCTTTTAGATTTATTTACATTTTCTGGAATATAAATTTATAGAATCTAAAGTGGCCGCAAAGTGAAGGATCGCTTTATATAATGATTGTAAATTAAATTTGATCCTCCATTTTATAACCACATTATTATCTGCCCCCTCTACCAAATTCTTGTAATCCATATATATATTCTAGCTTTAAATAAAGGTTGATAAACTGTAAAAAAACACATCAGTCAGTTATGTGCCATGCCTGATACACGCTTAGGTGATCATGTATCGAAAGATACATGATTGACGAGGTAGATTTTTTTTCCCTCAGTAGGTTGTCATTTCTTTCTGCGGTAGACCAGTTACCATTCAAGAACCCGGTCTATTTACCCATAGCTGGGAGAGAGGAAGAGGATTCATGCCTTTCTCAAGGGTATTAGCAAGTAAGTGAATGTAACTGATTTGACGGGAATTCGAACTCGGATCTCCAATTCCTCAATCAGAGCCGCTATCCATTATTCCACCGTGCCTCTAATCAATGACGCTTTAATAAAAAGGATTTTTTCATAATTAGATTTACATATGTGCTCCATTTTATTTTGTTGTTGCTTTTGTAGTTGTTGTTGCTGTTTTTTTTACAATTATCCAGAATCAAAAATAAATAAATGACTGTAATGGTATTCTCCCTTTATATTTTGTAGATGTTGTTCAGTTTTTAAATGTTCTTTAGAAAGGTACTTACTCTAGGTACGCCACTATGTTTGTGTGATACTGAAACTTGATTTCGTTTCCTCAAAATATCGCCGTGATTAATTTGATAAATACTTGCTACTTAACTGATTTTCACACCATGAAACACAAACCAGAAACGGAGTTAATCACCAGAAGAAAAAAAAAAAAAAACTTTTGCCGGATATTGGCTTTAGATAAATCAACGATTTGATAAAAAGTTTCAAATTACAGTTTATCTTTTATTGTACGACAGTAAGCATCCGTTTATTTCACGAGATAAAGGTAGCGTTGTTTGGTGAAAATTCAGTCACTTGGTGGCGAAACTCGGGTGACCTCTTCAGGGCGCAGACCTAGATGATGGTATATAGCGACCGAGTGTTGTCCAGACTACACCCTCCCCCGCTTTAAGCCATACTGACAAGATCCAAAGGAATACAGGGCATTATATTTGGGATCAGCTTGGCTGCAGAAGTCGCGTTTGATAACTAAGTCCAACTCCAAGCCGGAGAATGGGCAAAGGCGGTAAACAGGCGCCTCATAACAAGCTGCTTTGGGTAGATGGAGCTCGACACCCCATGAATACAGTTCATCTTGAGGAAGGAACGCTCTGATATTTTTTTAAATATTGTTCACTCAATAGCAGGTCCAAGAGCCACTCAAGGTAGAGGGTTACTGTGTGACATTGTATGAGCATAAGCAAAAGCAGGAAATGAAGTGCATGAGGTTATGCAAGAAAGATAACAGCTTGAAGAGATCAAGATTGTAGCGATTGGGAAAGCACCCCGCCGGTAGTCTATTCCACCAGACAACAGTTTTGGGGGAGAAGCTGTCCGAATGGGACATCCTCCTTACTAATGGAATATGGGAACTAAAGACTGACTAAGTAAAGACTGACTAAAGGGAACGGGGATGATTTGCTCTTCTTTATGTAGCAGGGCGTGTGACAGTTGTAAAGATCAGGGTTGGTGTCACCAAGGAATGTAGCTCGTCAGAATACATGACATAGTAATAGCGACAGAGCAGTGAGAGGATCGCAATGTTTCGTGTGTGGGAAAGGGATTGTAAGGTGGAAAACAATCCATCACCCGCAAGTCCGTATAGACACTTTTAAATGGATTATTGATGTCATATCTGGGCTAGAGCTGACCAGTCCTCACTTACCTGTCTTTAAAGACAAGTAAGTGAGGACTGGTCAGCTCCAGCCCAGATATGACAGCAATACTCCATTTTTGACCTGATCTGGGTCTTAAAAAGGTAGAGTATAGCAGAAGGAATCAGATGCTTATTGGAGCGGTACTAGCAATAGATCGGATATATGAGATCCACTTGAGGTCTGGGTTGAGCTTCAGTCTCAATAGACGCTCAAGTCTAAGAGCCTCCTTGTGAGAAGACCCATCCATCATGATGGGTAAAAGTTCATGGACTGATGGAATGTTACTCTTTTGATATTTTGGACGTACTGGATTTTACAAGACCCTAAAGCCCGACTAGCACCATCATTGAGTCATCTGGTCTGTGTCAAAGTAAAGATGAGCTGCTAGGCTCTGTTGATCCAGATCTTTAGAGGGGTACCTATAAACCTTTCTATCATCTTTCTATCTTTTACTAAGTATCTTGCGTGGATATAATTATTAAAAGAAAGAAAATGTTAACTTTACAATCAACAATTTTTTTCCGAATGGAATCACCAAACCAACCGGATTTGAACTGGTCTTCATTCAGACTCGTTGTCAACTAAATGCTTTGCTCTGTCAATGATCACTAGTCCTGGGTATGACTATAAACTATCAGGTCATCCCAGAAGTTCTGTCCGAATTTTATCTTTTTTTAAAATGAACGAAATTTAAAGTGTATTTTATAATGTCTAATGGAGCTGAACATTATTTTTATGTTTAGGTGCATTTAAACTGATCAAATTTTATTTCAGAGAACAATAAAATTAAATTTTGTTTGATTAAAACCCTACTAACATGGAAGTACCCAAGAATCATTTGAGGCACATAATGCTTTATGAGTTCAAGAAAGGAAACTCAGCAGCCAAAGTGGCTAGAAACATTCACTCAGTTTATGGAGAGGAATGTGTGAATGTAAGAACTTGCAGAAGATAGTTTGAAAAATTCACAGGTGGAGATTTCACCCTTGAAGATGAAGATCGAACCGGACGTCCAGTTGAGTTTGATGAAAAGCTTCTTGAAGCTGCCCTTGAAGAAAATCCTGCTTTATCAGTTGAGGAATTGGCAGTGGTTCTCAGTTCAAACCATACAACTGTTCATCGTCATCTTCAACAACTTGGAAAAGTTCCTAAACTTGGAAAATGGGTGCCTCATGAATTGTCTGAAAACAACCTCAAATCCCGAGTTGACATCTGCTCTTCTCTCCATTCTCGCCAACCTGTTTCACCTTTTTTGGATAGATTTGTGACTGGCAATGAAAAATGGATCTTTTATCAAAATGTTAAGCATCGTAGACAGTGGCTTGGTAAAGGGGAAGAACCCCAGCCACAGACGAGAAGGGAACTTCATTGGCAAAAGGTTCTTCTTTCAATCTGGTGGGATCGCCAAGGAATAATCCACTTTGAATTCTTACCACCTAATGCAACAATTAATGCTCAAATATACTGTCAGCAATTAGAGCATTTGAACCAAGCTTTGAGGAAAAAAAGACCTGCTCTAGTGAATTGAAAAGGGGTGATATTTCATCAGGACAATGCGCAACCCCACACAGCAAGAATAGCATGTCTTGGGTAAATTGACCTTTCAGAGCCCATCCCACCCCTGGTCAAATCACAACGTGTCCATGGGCATGTGGCCGTTGAATATATCTGGGGAACCTTTCTCTCTGGCCGTTGACTTCAGTCAAGGAAGCCCTCCGCCAGCAGATGGCCTGTGATCACCGCACTGGTTGTAAACATAAGCTAGGGAGCCCAGTCGACCCCTTTACGGTAAATGGCCGTTGAATCTACGAGAAGGTTCCTCCGTCCTTTTCGGCTTTAAATAACCCACAGAGGGTTGATAAAACGTAAAAACAAATCAATCAATAGTGTGGCGTGTCTCTCACTACTCTATCACTACGAACATGGAAAGTGCTCGGACGAACTGCATCTCCTGGTTCCATCAGATCTGATTATCAAGGCTAGAACACGCCATGCCACTTACATAGTAACAAACCATCCACATTTCCTCCGTATTCCATCGGCGAAAAGTAAGTTCCACTCGAACATCTTCTTCCCTCAAACAACTGTGTTATGGAATAAACTCTCAAGAGGATGTTCTCCAAATCACTGCAATCTTAACCTGTTCAAGTCTAGAGCTACCCGTTATCTTCCCCTGCTAGCCATATAAACTACGTCTAAACGTAACCCTCTGCTTCGAGTGGCTCTCGGATCTTGAACAGGGTGGACCTTACTGTAAAAAAAATTAAAAAAAAAAAAAAAAAAACCTCACCCGAAAAGCTTAGTTGGGGAACCAGTTTAGTCGCTGATATTCGGACTATAGAGCAGGTCGTACTTTAAAGTAACCAGCTTAAATTTTAACAAAATGGTAAACAGTTCTACTGATATATAAATGACACTGTTTGATGTAATGACCCTTTAGGTTCTTGTCAGTCTCCACTTGATCATGTTGTTCAAAATATCGAGCAAAGCAAGGAACAATGGCGAAAAGGTTAAACGAATGACAAATAAAAGTAGTAATTATCAGAACAAAGAACAATGTCCTTAGCTTCGAATACAGGTAACGAAGTGAAGTCTTGGATCATCGCTTGGTCAAACTTAATTATACGGCTGCCATGATATATAAAAAAAGACCATACCAGTTCATTAGGTCCATGGGTCGGCAGTTAGGTTCGCCCAATGAAATAATTATCAATCAAGCACACTCAAACGAACTTAATATATACGTTTCTAGGGACGTATAAACAAATCTATATACTTAATCTATCTATTTCGATATACGATGCACAGGGTGCGATGGATAGATTGTCGTCTAAATTTATGCAAAAATGAA